AACATGGAAAGATTAATGACAGAAGTTAAACATAAGTAGCAAGTCATTGTCATAGTGAAAAGAAAGTCCAGCACCAGAGTAATTTGAATGAGATTAATGACAGTAATGACACCACCAGTCTTCAACAAGAACTAAACTGCTCAGTCTTAATTTTCAATACTATTATGAGAGGCTGCCTGAAAAGTTTTTATGATTTGTAATAAGAAGATTGTGTCTCCAGCTTCCTTGTTAGGCAGATTAACCACCTACTGCTCCCATGTAAAGTGGCCAAAAGCCAGCTTCTCACCCCCCTGGGTCCCACTGTGCTATTACAGTCTGAGAAAGAATATTCCTTAATCCTAGGTCTGGCAGTCTGAGATCTGTATTTCAAGGAAAACCAAAAGCAGGGCTAAAAGATACATTTTTAAAATACCAGAACTTTTTTTTAATGGAAACCACGAAGTACATTTAAGATGCTCATTTTGCATTAGCTGAGTGTCCGTCAAAAATACAATTTCTTAATATACACAGGAACTCAGAGAATATGCAACTTGAAATACAACACCTCTGCCATTTCATCAAGGCCTTCATGACAAATCTTGCAGCCTGCAGAGCAGCAAGGCTGGGTTAAACTTACCTAATCTAAACTATTACCATCTTCTGTATCAAAACCCTTATTTAGTATCAAATAAAAGGGTATGAAGTCGTCAGAGTAAGATCAGTGTTAAAATGAAATACACATCACATCCTATTTGGCATCTTTTATCTTGTGCAAGCCCACACATATTATGACCACAGACCTGTAACATCTCCAAAAGAGTTTAGATTTGAAACCTTCACCGCAGAGTATTTTTGTAAGTCCAACACAACTTTGATCAAAGTAATGGTAATTTTACCAGAATTTATAGTTAAAGGTATATTTTCAGCTCAGTTCTGTCAGATACCACGTTCTCAGTGGTTTCTAAGCAACAACATAACTGAAAAACACTATAGTTCACAAGCTCTTGTATCACATAAGCAGGGAAATGGGAGAAAGGCACAAAACAGTCTGCTCAGTAGCTATTCTGAAAGTCTTGGTCTCTACAGCAACTGTGGGATTAAACCATAAAATCTGAGATGTCAACACATTTTTTAAACAGCAATTAGCTAAGTAACTATCAAAGGAACAAAGGATTCTTTAGGCTCATTTAACAAACGGCCCTCTTAATTCCCTTGGAAAAAGTTAATGAAGAAAGATGTCTTTGCCTTTGCAACAGAATAGATTTTTAACCAGAAGAGCAATGTACCTACCACCACTGTTTGTCCAAACTATTCTACAGAAAACTCTTGCCACTAATGTGAGGTCCCTTAGTAATAAAACTACATTAGTTCACTTCTCTCAGGATAAAAAAAAATCTTCAGGAAGAGCTGTTTGCTGTTAAATTCCAGCCATTATCTGTGTATACATCACTGACAGAGCTGTTTAAATATTTTCTTTAAGTGCTTATTATTCGCCTTCCTTTTTAAAAGATCAGAACTGGAAGAGCAGAACAGACTTTTGAACATTCTCAGAGGAAAAAAATGTTTTAATTTAAAAGACCATTTGCATGAGAACTGCAAGCTCAGCACACAAAAGTGAAGAACACAGTTATTTATGCAATAGAACAGACCCAAAGAGATTCATGGCAGGTCAGATTAAGGTCCACCCAGTGCCTCAATCCTTTTTCAGCTGGGCATGGTAGGAACGGGTGCTTAGGGAATTCTGTGCTCTCCTTGTTTTCATACCAGTCTCTCTTCTATGTACTTGGAACAATCTAAGTTTTAGTGCTTCCTGCACCTAACATTCATGCAGAGGATGTATTGTTATGTTTAACAGCCTTTAATGGATTTCTCTTTCACATCTAATTGCTTTCTGAACCTGTGCCAATTTTTGGCACCTACCTCCACAAATTCCATAATTTAACTATGCAGTTTAGGGGTGTGGTGCAGCCTTTGTTTTACAACCACTGCCTGACAACACGAGAGCTAAAGAGCATCAAATGAACATAGAAAAGAGAGAGAGAGAGAGATTCATCATTCTTTATTCATCCCCTCCATCTTAGACTTTTACAGATCATTATTCCATCTTCCTCCTCCTGTTTTCTTTCTAGACAGGAGAATACTCATTATGAGGAGACATAAAATAGCTTCCGTTTACTTACTGGAACTCGAGCTAGAGACCACTCACTACAATAAAAACCTGTCAAGGTTATAAGGTATGGATGCTCCAAATACCATGGAGAGACTCAAGCTTCAGCCATGGTGCAGAGTTTATTAAAATAGGAACAAACCCCAGTTTGTGTGTCACAAACAAAAAGGATTTTCAAGATCTGGACATCACTATTCCAGGCATAAAAAAAACCCTGAATATGTCTGGCTGCTTTTTCCAAGCGAAAGAGAGAAGTTGAAAGGTTCTCTGAGCTGACAGAAAAGTATTTGCTTACAGATACTCACCTTCATTGTATGGCTGGGGATTGCCAATAGGCCCACCAACCTGATCAGCAGTTTGCAGGACATTTACATCCATCAGGATAACCACTCTCCTACAACACAGAACAGACAGCAAATAAAGACTCACTCCCTCTGCAACTCCCATCTCTGAATATCCTTTGCAGCAGGTGAGAAAACCAAGCATTAAGAGGCTGATTCTTTGGATGAAGGATCTGGGAGACAAAAGCTCTCCACTGTCAACTAAGCCCTCTCTTGAGGGACAAGTAAGCTTGAAACAATATCACACTGCATCAAGGACAGGTGATGGCAGGCTGAACAGGCACCAAAAATAGCTTGGTAAACCACTGTGTTTTAAAAGTAGCAAAACCATACAAGGTTTTTATTCCCTGCCTCAAAAGTTGTTGTCCTCTCTTCAGAAAAAAACACTGAATAAAAACCTCAGTTCATATCCTGCTAGACATATACATAGTTTCTGTAATAGTTTCACCTGGATCTCTTCTCTTCATTTTGCAGTATCCCATCCCCTCAAATTTTCCTCCTATCCCACTTCCTCAAATTTTAATCAAAGACCAGATTCCACAACACCTAAGTAACAAGATACCTTTATTGTTTCTTTTCAACACCAGATAATTTTAAGGAAGCTTTGTACAAGTATTTGCAGTATTCCAGCTAGAGTTGGAGTACTGCATCTGGAAACTTTATATTACTAAATCACTGTACCAGATACATCTGATCCCACTAGTCACATTCTGCAATTTATTTCTTCCGTTACTGCTGCCATGGACTTTCCCTCTTGCACCCTAAAATCTGAGTATTTCCAGATAATCCCAACCAAAAGCACTTGGCCTCTGCTTAGCCACAAAGCACAGAGCCCTCACTAGTGCAGCTGCCTTTCTGTAGGGCTGTACTTAAAGATTAACACAAATACCTTCCATCCTTCAGGCTGTTGACAATGAATCTGTTAATCTGGCAGATAGACCAGGCTGACAAGCGTTCCTCTTCCACCAGGGAGTTCAGCTGTGTTGCCAACATGAATGCTGCAGGAGCAGAAGGAATATATTGAAACAATTCACAATGCCAGCTTTAAAAGGGGCTGCCATGGCTGGCCATGCCCTTTCCAGCCAATCAAGTATTGCACTGGGTCTACAACTTGAGAAAGAAAACAGTGCAACTGCTAAGAAGTCACCAAAAGTGGTCATAAACTATGCTGTATTTATTACCCACACTTCAGAGTGCAGTGATAGCTAGAATGATTGTATATCAAAGAACTGAGAGGAAGATTAAACTAAATTACTGTTAAATCAATGTTTTATGTATAGGTTTCTGTATTTTCCTTATATTCTGCAACAAGTTGATTGCTTATACTTTACGAAGTTCGAAAAGTCAAAGATTTCACGTAAATGACAAAATGCACACTTCAGAGTCTGCGGCCCAGTGAAAAACCACATTCTCCTTCAGTATTTCTTTCAGCACTTTGCATCCAGTCACCAGAGCAGGAACTTTATCACCTTTCGCATCTCCACACTTAGAAAAACCTCACTGAAGCTTGTCATACTCACAGGAAAGGGTGTTCACCCCATCACTCATCAGCACCCGGTAACGTGGGGGCCCAGTTCCTGTGGCAATAGCTCGTGTATTCTGCAGGAAAAAAAACAACTCCAGGCTGTCAGTTCACATTTGCTCAGAAACTTTTACGAAACAGAAAGTGAAATCAACAAGTGACTCATCTATTCGGCTTTTTTTGAACGCAGTATCAACAGCATAGCCCAAGCAATGTAAAACAAATTTAAGAGAATCAAAAGTAGAGCAGCCTTGCTCGGCTTCTCTGCAGAGGCTGCACTCAGGACCCCACATGCAGTCACCGAGGGGCTGGCACAGGAGGGAAGGGACAGTACTCACGATGACTTGCAGCACGGGCTTGGGGACCTCCTCCCCTTGCATTATGGCCTGGAGAAATGAAAGAGACGCTCAGAAATGTGTCACCGCCTCGCTCGGGAACGCTTCGCCCCCCACAGTGACAGAACCATAGAATCAATGAGCTGGGACGCCGGAGATCACCGGGCCCAACCCGTGAAGGGCTGTAGCCAAGGAGTTGAGGAGGAACTGCCGTGGAAGAGCCAGGGACGCGGGTGCGGCCGTTACCACCGGACCGGGGCCACCCCCCGGGACCAGGCCCCGGTCCGGGCCTGCTTCTCCCCTCGGGACCGGGCCAGACCCGGTGCCCAGGCCCAGCTTTCACCACCCACCCTGACCAGGACCAGGTGCATTCCAGCCCACTCCGAGCCGCTCACCGCAATGGCCCCCTCGCTCAACCGCCCGCTCATGGTACCGCGTCCGCCACTGCCGCCAAATCCTCCCGCCGCTGCCGCCAAATCCTCCCGCCGCCTCTGCCGCTACCGCCTTCTTCCGGCGCCGCCTTACACCACACCGTGCGTCACCCGCCAGCACGGCGATTCCATTGGCTGTCCGGAGCTGTACGGCGGAAGTGTCTCTGTGTTCCGTGCAGGGATGCTGCTGGGCGCCGCCATGGCGGTGGTGGCGCGGTGGCGGTGATGGCGCTGCCGGTGGCGGAGTGGCAGGGCCGCACCGCCCGGCTCTGGGCCGCGCTGGACCCGGCGCTGCGGGAGCGGCTGGCGGCGGCTTCGCTTCACGACGCGGTGCGGCTGGGTTGTGACCTGCTCCGGTGAGCCGCGGCACAGGGCAACGAGGGGGAGTGGGGGACTGGCGCATCTCTCTCAATGCGTATAAATAAAGCGGCGGTGCCGAAGGATGGACCGGGCTCTGCTCGGCGGACACGGGGCAATGGGCAGAAAGTGATACCGTGGAGATTCCATCGGGGTAAAATTCCACATTTCTACCTGACAGGAGGTTGGAGGAGGCCGGCCTCGTCTCCCAGGCTAGTGGCGGTAGAACGAGAAGACATAGGTTTAAACTTCACTTGGGAAGGTTTAGGTTGGACACTAGTGGGAATTTCTTGGCAGGAAGGGTGGTTGGACGCTGGAATGGGCTGCCCGGGGAGGTGGTGAAGTCGCTGTCTCCGGAGGTGTTTAAGGGAAGATTGGACATGGCATTTAGTGCCATGGTCTGACTGACAAACTGGGATCCGCCACAGGCTGGACCCGATCACCTCAGAGGACTTTTCCAACCTAATTAATTAATGATTCTGTGAATTTGAGGGAAAACTTCTTCCCTGTGCGGTGACCACGCACAGATTGAGAGTGTGGCGACTCCCTCGCTGGAGAAATTCCAGAACCCTCTGGACACAATCCTGTGCCACAGGGATCATCCTGCCTGAGCAGGGAGGCTGGACCAGACGATTCCAAACTGATTGTTCGGTGCTGACCCACAGGGCCGAGCAGGAGGAGGAGGCAGCCCTGGTGCAGTTGTGCCTCCAGGCACCCACGGACAAGAAGCCGGAGGCCGCGAGCTGGTACCGGGAGCAGGGAAACCGGGAATTCAAACGGGGCCAGTACCAGGCTGCCCTGAGGCTCTACTCCAAGGTAGGCATGAGGAGATCCCAGGGAGGGGGTCCCACAGCACCTCCCAGCCAAAAGGGTCCCCTGAGGGGATCCCCAAAAAGGGGTCCTGCAGCCCCTCATGGCTGGAGGAGCAGCTCCCGTGAGGGGATCCCCAAAGAGGGGATCCTGCAAGCCCTGCTGAGAGGGTCCTGTGTGGGATCCCCTGAGGCTGCAGCAGGTCTCTGGTCTCTGCAGGCAGCATCCCACGAGCTCCCTGGGAGCCCCGAGGTGTCCGTGTGCTTTGCCAACCGCTCGGCTGCTCTCCTCCACCTGGGGCACTTCGAGGTAAGTGGGGCCAGGGCAGCACCCACCCCACAAGGTCCTGGGTGCCCCTGAGGTGTTCGATTGTTAGAACAAGAGACAACAGATCAGCTGTGCTTCCCAAGTTGTGCTTAATTAGAACTTTCTGAAGGGCTCCTACTTTGTTTCCGTGTCAAGATGCTTTATTTGGAATTATTATTATTATTATTATTATTATACATGGAATTTGCTGATTAACACACATAATTCTTCCATGAGACTGTCTTAGGTGGAATGAAAGAGCACGAGCTGGTTTTCAAGCCCACTTAAAAGGCCTTATCTTTGTTCCTAGGTTTGTTTGGAAGATATTGCCCGGGCTGAAAGTCATGGCTATCCAGAAAGGCTGCTGCCCAAGGTCCTGCTGCGGAAAGCTGAGTGTCTGCTGTGCCTGGAGAGGTTTCAGGATGCACAGGATATCCTCAGAGTGCTGGAGAGTAAAATTACTCTGGATGGGGTCATGACTACACACCTGACACGGCTAAAAAAGTTAAGTCAGCTGAAGGTTAAATTAGGTGAGAAAGAGAGGTGTCCAAAGCCTGCAGGAGAACGTGGTGGCATTCAAAGGGAGCCAGAGATCTGGGAAGAGAACAGCAGCATTTCAGGTGCATCTTCATCTCTGAGCTTGAGTTTTGATGCAGAGAGAGGACGTCACTTGGTGGCCTCCCAGGACATAGTGCCAGGACAGAGCCTGCTGAAAGAGGAGGCCTTTGTGAGTGTGCTGTGCCCTGGGGAGAGCCTTCCTGTGCAGGATGGTGACACAGCGTGGGACACTCGAGCCACCAACGCAGATCTTTACTGCCACCACTGTCTGAGGCAGCTCCTGGCCTCGGTGCCTTGTCAGGGCTGCAGTTATGCCAAGTACTGCAGCCAGGGCTGTGCAGAGATGGCATGGCAGCAGTACCACAGGACAGAGTGTTCCCTGGGAGCCCTGCTCCTCACCCTCGGGGTCTTCTGCCACGTGGCCTTGAGGACTGTCCTGCTGGCAGGATTTGCAGAGGTCAGCAGACTGGTGGCCTGGTCCCACCACAGGGACAAGAACCTTCAGAACCCTGAGGCAAGATGCAAACCTCTCAGTGAGGCACCAGCTGCAGGAGCTGGTAGCAAAGGTATTCCTGGTTGTGGCAGCAATGGTCGGTACCAGAGTTCTTACCAAGCTCTATTCCACCTTTTGCCCCACACTGAGCAGCACAGCCCTGAGCACAAGTTTCTCTGCACGCTCAGTGTGGTAGCTCTATGCAAACAGCTGCAAGCAGCTGGCCTGGAGGCTGCTGTGTTGAGTCAGGAATCATCTCAGCAGTGGTCCAAACCAAAGGCATGTGAAAAAACCTCAGATGAATTGTTCCCAGAGCTGAAGACTGTGGCAGAAGCAATGCTGAGGCACGTGTTGCAGCTGCAGTGTAATGCACAAGCAATCACTGTAATGCAGGAAATGGGTAAGATAAAAAATAATTAAAGCCTTACTGTGTTGTCACAGAATGGTTGGGGTTGGAAGGGACCTCTGAAGAGGATTCAGTCCAAATCCCCTGCCCAGGCAGGGTCACCTGGAGCAGGTGACACAGGAACATATCCAGGTGGGTTTGGAATGTCTCCAGACCTCCCTGGGCAGCCTTTTCCAGTGCTCTGCCACCCTCAGTGGAAAGAAGTTTTTCCTCATGTTGAGGTGGAGCTTTTTGTTTCATTTGTGGCTGTTACTCCTCATCCTGGCACCACAGAAAAGAGTCCATCACCATTCTCTGACACCTGTATTTGTGTATGCATTGATGAAATCCCTTCTCAGTCTTCTCCAGACTAACCAAGGCCAGCTCCCTCAGTCTCTCCTCATAAGAGAGATGTTCCAGACCTTTCATCATCTCTGTGGCCTCCACTGGGCTCTCTCCCGTAGCTCCTCTTTCCTGTTCTGAGGGGCCCAGGACTGTCCTCTCCTTGCTGTCTTCCCTGTGTGACGTGAAGAGATTGGAGATTGAATTCTCAGCTGTAAAAAGCTCCCATTGCAGATGAAAATGACTTGTTTAAAATTTAATGGCCTGTCCCGTGCTGGCCTGTTCCTTGGTGCACATGCAGAGTGTGTTTAGCTATTATTTATTGCAGCAATATACCAAGAACCTTTCTGCTGCTGCCTGCCATCGGTCACGGTGCTCGTTGCAGCAATTGTGTGGGTTTGTGAGCATTCAATCTCAACCTGCTTGCTTTTCCTTTGTCTTCAGGGCCTGGAGATGGGGCTGTTGTAGATAAGAAGCCTGTGAGGCTGGCAACAGCCTTCTTCCCTGTCCTCAGCCTCCTGAACCACTCGTGCTGCCCCAATACCAGCGTGTCATTCAGTGGGACAGCTGCCACTGTCAGGGCGTCACAGCCAATCTCAAGTGGCCAAGAGGTTTTGCATTGCTATGGTAAGCCCTAATTCTGTGTTTGTCTCAAGGCACACACATCATTCACTTCTCCTCATCATGCTGATGGCTGTTTATATCATAATTCTCATATAATTCTCATCTGATGTTGCCAGAGTCTTTGTTTAGCAGCATTGATCAACATTTCATCTCTTAAGCCCACTGGTAGATTTTCAGTCTCCAGCTGTGTCCTCCCCAGAATATACCTAGTCTCAATTGTAACATAATGTATTCTGACATTAAGAACTGTACCTGTTGAGAGATCTCTACCCTTGCCATCCTTTGCAGGGCCTCACTGGTGTAGGATGAGGGTTGCTGAGAGACAGCAGCTTCTCAGTCAGTATTTCTTCGAGTGTCACTGCCAGGCGTGCCTCGAGGAGTTAGAGTCTGGTGTCAAGAGTGTGGTGTCCATCAGAAATTCATTCTGCTGTCCCAAATGCCAGGCTCAAATGAAGGTAATTCTCCATAGTTATGATTGTGCAGCTTACTGGGATGTGTAAGGTTTGGGTCTGGGAAAGCCAAGAGGTGAAGACTTCACTTGGATCCCTGCTCAGACACCAAAAGCCCCTCTTGAGTCAAGACAGTATCTCACTGTTTCTTATAAAATCAAATAAGCTGATAATAATTTATTTAAAAATTAATTTAATTAATGAATACAGCTGAGAAACAATGTAGCATCTCTACAACCCAGAGCTGATGCAGATGGAAAGTAAGCTTTGAGCTGAACATGAGCAGCAGTGATCACAAGGGTGATTTCCACAGGGGGAAGAAGACACACTTTACTGTTCAAATGAAGCCTGTGCAACCTCAGCCAGCAGAGATCACCTGTCTGGCCGATTGCAGGATCTTCGGCAACAAATCAAGAAAGCTTTAGACCTGCTGAGAGTCGGGAAGGCTGGTAAGGCTCAGTTTTGTGCCCTGAGGTCAGCAGCTGAGGAGCCCAGGTCGGGACAGGAACCATGAGATGGCACTGTTGCTCATGCCATTGAGGTGCTGTGACATGTGGCCTGGTGTCCCTGGGGACTTCAGCTTTAGATTTTTTATACCCCCTGACCTGGGTGTTAATCCAAGTCACAAATTGTTCCATAGTAAAGTAATTAAATAAAAAGAAATTAGGGTAACATTGGAGTTAGGCATTCCCAGGCCCTGTTTTCCTGGAGGGAGTTGGGCCAACACTGGGGTAGAATAAGCAAAGGTGCAGATCAAGTCAGTGTTGAATCCTAACCAAACCCCAATCAGCTGTGTAACATGCAAAGATGAGATGGGATTGATTTTATTTCATGGATAATGGAAACCTGGAGACTGGCCACAGGGCCACAGGAATTTTATAACCTTTTTTTTTAATATATATAGATCAGGCTATCAAAATGATCCTGAAGTGTCAGATGGATGCTGAAACCTTCTTGTGTCCAGAGCATTTGCTGATGGGAGAGATGGAGGATCATCTGGCACAGGTCTATGCTACTCTTGGTATGGCATTGTCCTCTTACTCTCCCATGTTTCCTGAACTTTGAATTTAACATGATTAACTTTTCTTGAACTGGCCCTCTCATTTTTTCCCTAGTTTTGTCAGCAGGGCTCTCAGAAAGACCAAACCTTTGTTCCCAGCAGCCAGTGTACAATACTGTGCTCTCATGTTCTTTCAGATTCCCTGTCCAGGTTCTGTGGACAGAGTTCACCACATTTTGATTAATTCTGTCAGATTCTTTGGGCGGCAGTAGCTCTAGGAAATATTTATTCATTTCTCATCGTTTCGTTTTTCCATCAGGGAAGTGGCAGGAAGCAGCCAGACACCTGAAGAAGAGTATTGAGATTGTGGAAATGCACCATGGGCCATCAAGTGTAGAAACAGGCCATGAACTTTTCAAGCTGGCACAAATCCTCTTCAATGGGTGAGTTTGGTTTCATCCTCTATCCCTGCCCTGCACCACTCCTGTGTGTCTGACACAATATCAAGGCACCTTGAGGGTGTCTCACAGGACACAGGGCAGTCTAGCACAGGTACTCTCTTAGGAATTTGTTCCTATCCTTTGTGCCTGTCTTATCTTTTTCTTCTCCCTGGCTCAATTTATTCCCTGTCCAATTGTTTTATTCTGTCAACTCATCACCCTTGGTGTTTATACCTCAGTTGTATAATGTTGCTGACATCTTCTCAAAGGAGGGAATGAAATCCTCTTGCTTTATTGGCAAGGAAATCCCCTGACTGCTTCTGAAAATCTCCTCACAACAACTCACTTTAACCAAATTAATTTTAGCAGGAGCTGCAGTGATGAAGTAGTGGGTTCCTATAATCAAAGATAATGTTTTCAGGTTTTGTCCATCTCCTTTCATTTCCACCCCCCTCATTCTCCCTTTGCAGCTGAAGCAGACACAATTTTCCTGCTGCTGGAAGACAGGGGAGGGTGGGATCTGTAACCATGAACAGGGATAGGTTTTTGTTAGGGAGGGCTTAAAGGTTGTGTAAGTCAAGAAGCCGAATTAAGTATTTTGTACGCTGTGTTCTTGTTATCTTCCTATTTCAGATTTGCAGTTTCTGAAGCTCTGAGCACAATTCAAAGAGCAGAGGGGATTTTGTCAGTGCACTTTGGTCCTCAGAGTGCTCAGATCCAGGAACTACAAGAGATGAAGGCCTGCCTGTCACAGCTTCCCAGAAACATCCTTCAGAGGACTTAATTTCCTTGTCAAAGGAAGCTGCAATGTGATCTTTCATCAAAGCTAAGTGTCATGTGGTAAGGTAGTCATGTAGTACAAGCTGGAAAATCATGTGTAACAGCAACTTGAATGAAGTCTTGAAATGCTCTTTGGTGAGCCTGTTGTAAATAAAATGACCAATTCTAACGTGAGAGGTGTGTGTGTGGTACGGTGGGAACAGAGGCTGTTGTGTAAGTTCTGTGTGTGGGTTGGAAGCAAATGTTTGAGTTGCTTTTGTGTGAGGTGTGACTCTCCCCTGTGTGGTGCCCTGAGCATTATGAACATGCAGTCATCCAGAGCACGTTGCCTTCTATTTTTAATACTGTGAGGCACTTTCCTTCTTGCCAGTGTCAAGTGGAAATGGTTGGGAAGTGCAAACTTACAGTCTATAAAAGGGGGCACTGCAGAACTTGGAGGGCTCCAGTACAGGTCTGTCAGTGATGAGGGATTCAGAATCAACAACTAGTGTCAGGATGGAAAACAGGATGGGGAACAATGCAGCATACACCAGATAATGTTTGCTTTCAGGACACAGAACTGCATTCCTTCTCTGGGGAAATTGGGAGTGTAGGCAGACAACCTTTCAAGGGAGAATACTTGGGCTTGCTGAGATTAATAGCAAAAGCTCTTTTATTGCAGTATGAAGGCGTAAGATTTGCAAGTTGTGTCTTTGTGCAGCAGAGCAGGGAGCCAGTATCCCTCCCAATATCACCCTTTCCATTTGGGCCCTACCATTGCAGATTATTGTGAAGGGATCTAAACACCCCTGGGATCCAGGATCTTGCCAATGAAGAGCAGGGTTCCAGTGGTATCATCCCTCAGTACAAGGAGGAAAGGTCTGTCCACGTGGTATTCTATGGGGAAGGTCAGACGAGCAGCATTGACCCCAGGGTTTGGTGTGGATCTTTCCCCATCCTCACTAAGCTCCAGCATTGCCTTGTGTTGCACATGAGATAATCTCAGAGGTTTGGCAGAAATCTTGGAGAAATCAGGTGATGTGAAAAGTGATTGGAGCCCTGGAGAAAAGAGAGAAAGTTCATTAGCTGAAGGCATGGATTGCAGAAGGGGGAGCAGCACTAAGGTGTGATCCACGAGGGCAGGGAGCTGCTTGGGCACAGTTTTTTGGGGGAATGGGGAGAACAATCTCAGCAGCACTGTATGAGCTTGGTGGACAGATGTGATAAAAAGCTGAGAAGTCCTGGATGAAGGTGGTTTGGTTGCTGGTGAAATCTCCACAACCATAACTAAAAACCCACCAGCTTCATATTCTGAGAGCAGAAAGCAACTTAACCACTGCTTTGAGCCCTGGCAGCCTGCAAAGGGGTGTGATGCACATACTTGTCTCCTTTAGTGTGCTGCCAAGTGCTTCTTCATGGTTCAGCTTTAGTTTGGGCAGGCTTAGCACAGCGTGGACTGTCTTCAGCTCCTTGTCCACATCGTGGACAAACTCAGAAGTGAGGCTTTCCTCAATCAGAGTCATGTTCTGGGTCACCTTTGTGGGCAGGAAGAACATGGCACTGATTCCCTCTGTCAGGGGCAGCTGGGCAATCTGCAAGGTCAGAAATAAGAGAGAGATAAGAAAGGGTCACTTCAATAATAATCAGTTTTACCCATCCTGTACCAGGCAGAGGCCTGATTCTCAGGTTGGAATCTCAACCTTTTCAGTGAATATTTAATCATTTTCCCTGTTTGCTTTTATCTGACATGATGCTTCCTGAAAATTCTGGCTTTTTCCCCAGACTTTTATCCATCCTTGCTGCACTCTTCCTGCTATGGAAGTGCTCTATCACCTGCTGAATCCTGCAGCATTGCTTTGGGGAATTCTCTCTGGAACACCTTTGAGCTCATGCTCCAGGGAAAGACTGGTTGAAAGAGGTAGAGATGGAAAAGTTTTGAAAGGTGTGCCCTGCCCTTCTTACCCAACTTTAAGTAAAGCAATACAAGCTGGTAGGACCTGGATATCATTTAAATTTTGGATTGTTTGTGACATAGCCTGGGTAGAAGCAGGATATCCTAAGAATCAACACACCGCCTTTCAAAATAGGGATTGCAAAAGTAGCTGATGGGAGGAGCAAGGCTGGAATGGGTTAACAGGTAGGTGTAGCTGAACCTGCCCCTCAGTAGGTTTAGGAGATCTTAGGCAATATTTGCTGTCTGACCTTGCAGTTGAGTTCTGAGTCAAAACCATATCTCAGGATGGCTTTGGGGTCTGACATCATGGACACCTTCACAGTTCTGTCCTCATCCAGGTGGAAGTCACTCAGGGCAGTCTTCTTGGTGTCAAACTTGGTTTTCCACGTCCCTATTTTGTAAGAGAGAAAATGGAGGGTTTTCTGCAATAATAGCATATGAAACCAGGCTTATGCCTGGGGGTGAATAATCTTGTGCTTTAATATACAGTATTTGTGCAGTAAGGAGTTGAGGCATAACAGGGATAGAAATAGACTGATTGGAGCTACTGATTTACTGCCATCCTTGGCCCCTCCTTTTCATCTGAGAATTGGCTAAATGGCAAATAAATAATCAAGCCAGTGTGTGGGTGGAGTAGCCATTGGGAAGTTGATGTCTACTTATGTAATTACAAAACTATTTTAAAGGGTAACAGTTGTGTCAATGGATATAAAGTGCTTCTCTCCCCACCCTTTATTTTGCTCCTTGTCTCTAAGCAATAATTCTCCAGGACACTGGCTTACAGAATGTTTAAGAACAGCTCTCTAGTATCAAACTGTTCCTTCTACAGTGGTAAGAGGGCTCAGAACATTCTAAGCTGTGCTTTCCCTAAATGGTAATATCCCATCTCTGAATGGAGTTTTGTGAGCTTAAACTTCCTTCTCTGATTCTTACTGCAAACAGGTCAAGATTCAGCTTCCCAAGAGTAATAATTCCTTCCTCAGCACTAGTTTTGTTCAGGTAGTGTGCTTTTTTTTTCTTCTTTACTAAACATTCTCAAACACTTTCTTCTCACACTCTCTCTTTGACAGCCTGTTTGCTTTATTGGAAGAGAGAGCATTCCTTCACATCTAACATGTGCTTAATGGACTTTTTCTGTGTCCAAGCACACAACATTCTTACCCTTGAAGAAAGCAGCCCCAGCAAGGAGAATGCTGACATCTGTGGGCACATCCTTCATGAACCTCATAATCCTTCCCTTTGTCTGCTGTCGGACCCAGTTGTTGATTTCTTGGAGGTCCAGCTGGGTGTTGCCACTCAGTGCCCTCAATCTCATCTTGTAGGACTTCTCGAGTTGGCTGTGAAATCCAGGCCTTGCCCTGAGTCCTGGGGAATAAAAACATGGATATTGCAGCTAGCTTCCTTATCCAAACAATCTCAAGGCAGCAGGTGGCAATCCAAAGCCCAGCAGCAGGTCTCATAAAATATCTGTGCCTGTTTGTCTACAGAAACCTGCTTTGAAGAGGAATATCTGAAAGCACATTAAAGAAACTGATCCAAATCCTACAGCCACCCGTGCTGGAGTATGGGATAACTCTCTTCTGAAAACTGAAAAAAAGAGATAAGAACTGAAGGCTTGGACACAGCCATTCCTACATTAGCCTTTCTTCTTTCCCCAGCCTGCTTTCTGAGTACAGCTTACTCAACCTATTGGATTCTTGGAACCAGCAGGTTCCAAAAGATAGCTCTTAGCATTCTCAGCAGATGTTTATTGCATGCCAGAAGCAGACATTTCAAATAGCTCTGCAAGGAATTAAACAAAGGAATATGGCTGAGTGTTATCACAAATAGAAAATATGATCTGTGGTTCCTGGAAGCCAGCAACACCTGCCAGACAGCCTGGAGTGAAGGCAAAATTATCAGCAAGCTTCTTTTAGGTCTTCTGTGAGTTAACTGTTCTGTCCCCAATGTATTTGTGTGCATGTCTGGTCTTTTATTTAAGTGCACACAAACTTTCCAAGCTTTTTCTGGAGCAGCAAGAGCATTCCATGCCCTGTCTGCATCCTGCCTCAGCAGGATGTCAGAGCCAGAGCTGTTAGTGCTGTGTTACTCAGTGTGTTTTTATATATAAATATATATACACAAACACCAAAATAACTACTGCTGACAGCTTTTTAGGTAGAATTTCATAGAGGGAAAGTAGAACTTTTACTTTTCTCCAAGATGATCCGGGAAGCACTTTTCATGCTCTTCTCTGGCCCGGCCACACTGCTCAGGAGGTCCTTGTAGGTGTCGTGCACCTCAGCCTTGTTGAGCAGATCGTAGAAGAGGGCACGAGAAATCACATTTTCAGTTCGTTCTCCAGCCCCTGCCAACGACCAGGAAAACATGAAGGAAGGGCTGCCAAGGCAGAAGGTGAGAGTGGGAATGGGGCAAAGAACTCACCAAGTGAGAGACCAGAAAGTGCAGTAGCCAGGCTGAAGGGAGACAGCAGCACGTTGGCCGTGGCTGTGCGGCTGGACTGCTGGCGGTACAGGTCATAGCCAAAGTTGGAGACTGCAGCTGCCAGCTTGTTCACAGGGCTCTTGTAGAATGGATCTTCCTCTTCCTCGCCAGCATTGGCTCCATCAGCTGTGGCAGAGTTCTGGCAGGTCCAGGGAGTGCTTTGGTTAGATTTGCAGGTGTGGTAAACACTTAATAGGCAAACAACTATAGATATTCTTCTGTGAAATATTGACTTAATCTTATAGAGAGTGTAGGAACAGTTACTTTAATGCCAAAGGCAGCACCGAGTTTGAAATTCTGCCTCCTGGTCATCCCCTGATGTAACTACTGTGGTTTTATCCAGATAAAGCAGGAGTTAGTCTCATTATGTTGCTAAATAAAATCCCAGTAATTTAGGAGGGTAGTGCTTAATCCTTTGGTAAGAATCTCTAAAATTAAGTTACCTGCTCCACACCTCTCCCCCTCATTCTCTGCATATTGTCTCCTACTCACCTGCTCAGTAGCTGGGTTCTGGGTTCTGCTTGGGACAGTTAAGAGACCCAGGAAAAGAAGAATTACTGGAATCTGCATGCCTGGACCTACAGAGTAAGAATATGACAGAGAGAGTTTGAGCAATCAGGAAAATGCATCTCTACCACAACTATTCACTGTACCTGGCTGTGACAGGAGCTGCAGTGACAGATGCTGCTGCTTGTCCTTCCAGTTGTGAAGCACACACCTGATCTGAGCCAGGTTTCCTTCTCTAGTTGGAAATACTCAGCCAGACTGGCCCCAGTGACTTTAAAATTGGGCAAGCACATGGTGTGGGTGTGCCTGAGCACAAAAGCAGATGTGTGTGGCCCCAACCACACTGATGCTGGCAGTCACTCAGTGCCAAGGTCCAGAAAAGCACCAATCATTACTTCTGAGTCTTAGGCTTCAAAAAAATTCAAGACTTCATTTATAAAAGGTACCAAATCCATATCGTTGAAAGGGGCAGAAGGCAACACTGACTGGTTACTGCTTTGATATACAAATTACCTGCCTCAGGCAGTAGTTTGCTGTTTCTTGTGTCTACATGTACCTGCGTCCATCCTTTGCTTCTTATTTGCAATCTGATGAAGTAAAATAGAAGAACTTTCTTAAAAGACAATAAGGAAACCTAGAGAAGTGAAAGGCAGAGCTTGGCTTATTTGACATTTTTAATGGAGGTGGGAGAAAAGCACCAAACTCCCAAAAGCTGTTCCTTCTGTGGAATCCACTTTCCTCACTCCAGTACTGGGATGAGTGGCCCTTCCAGACAGATCTGTCTACTCCAGAGTGCACTGAGTAACCCAGGGCTTTGCTGTGGGTAAACCAGAGCTACTGAAGTGTCCTGCCCCCAAGAACAGACGCCAGTGAGGCTGGTCTGAAGCAATGTTTAGATAGATTCCCAGAAATTAAAGGAAAAGGGTTGTATTTAACTAACCCCTGTCATCCAGGCAACTAGAAAAATCAGAGGAAGAACATGTGTTTCAGATTAACTTCAGCTACAAAGCAAACACGCCTGCTGCTAGAAATACACGTGGCGACAACAGCCCCAGCTCAAGACCCTGCTCAGGCAGAGTGAGAGGCAGTTTGCTGTCTCCCTCCACTGCCTTTTCTTCTGGGGACAGCTCTCCCTTGGAGAAAAAAGCATCACAAGAAGGGTTTTAAACTGTCATCTGTGTTCAGCCAGTGTAACACAGAAGTGGTACCCTCTTCCCCCTCTTTCCCCCCGTGTGCTTGCATCCTGCAACCTGCTGCCATCCCAGCTGCAGAATAGGTGAGGTTCTCCTGCAGAAGATATGCATCAAGAGGATTTACTATCTGGTGTGTCTGGTGGTGTGACAGTGGATATGATGCTGGGATTGCTCCTATCATTCAGAGATTTACAATGACCAGGCACCATGCTGGAAGAGAGATGCCAGAAGTCCTACATGAGTCTAATTCAACCAAGCCTTAGCAAGGGCTCTGTGAGGATGCCTGTACTAAGCTGCAGTCATGCATGCTGAGAGGAAGAGGTTTGGCCCAGTCTAGCTTAGAGCTGAAGCTTTTCCATAGAGCATAACCTTTTCTCTGAAGAAAAAGAAAATAATCTCAACACAACCACTGCTTCCAGCTACACTGAGCTCCTGGGAGCATGGGAGCAGAGATTGGTTTTGCAGATTGTATTGTTTTTGCCAGTACTGTCACCAGCTTCATATTTCTCAGACTTCGCCAAAAAGCAATTTCCATTTTAAAAAGACAAAGCCTTTTGAGTTTGAATTGGCCTGAACATCTGGATTCTATTTGTATTTCTCTTAGCACACAGCCAGAAGTGCAGAGAAAAGAATTTGGTTGGATCGGAGGTGGGATGGTTTCAGGCAAGATATTAAAATCTGTGGCTGCCTTGAAGGAGAAGAGAAGGAGCGACAGTGAGTGATGGTACAGTCAAAAGGTACAGGAAGAAAACCTTGAGAAATGAGCTGAGAAGGAACTTTGTGTCTGGGACTTGTCGATTTGTGAAGGCCTGCAGGTGCAAAGGAAATATTTTACTTTCCACATACAGTGGTACAAGTCTCTCACATCATTTATAAACACTTCTGGCTTTAGAGGTGCTGTGAAACAAAACCCATGAGTTCAGACTGCTCTGCTTGTTCCACAGCACCAGCTCCTGGAGCATCCTGCAACCACCAGCTCCAGAGGATTTGACTGGCACATTATCACAGACAAAAAACATGTTCCCAGCTGCAAGGCAGATGTTTGAAAGGCAGAAACCCACCCCAGTTCCCGAGCACAGCTCAGCCTCGGGGGCAAAACTGATGCTGGTAGCTCTGGATCCTAAGTGAGGTCTCTTGGTGGGAATCCCACCTGGAGAAGAACCATTCATCCCATTCCCCAGGTGCTCTGAGAGCTGCCCAGCCTCAGCCCCTGCCCTGTGCTCCCGTGGCCGCTGGCAGTGGCACAGGTGAGCTGTCCCTGAGCTGTCCCTTACCTGGGGCTCCTCTCGGCCGCTGCTGTCCGGGCTCCCAGCGGGTGCGAGGCGAGGACAGTGTGGGTTTGGTGCAGCCACATCTGCTTTTTGCTGCTTCCCCCAGCCCAGCCTTCGGCAGGCTTCAGGTTACAGCTTCCCAGGGCTCTCTTAAAGTGCTCTGCTCCCATTTTCTGCCGCTGCCACCCTCGCAGTCAATTGCACTAATTTTTCAACCCTTTTTCCCCCCCATCCCAAAACAAATCCCCGTGCTAAGGGCAGCCTGATGGGTAAAGCACGGGTAGGAAAAGCAAACACTCCCTGTTTGAGCAAGTCTTTTATCCCAGCAGTTCTGCATAGGTCGTATCAGGGAATTCCTTCTGTCTCAGAGGTATGGTTAATGCAGTAGTGTTTAATGGATTTATAGATTTATGTCCAAGATTTAATGGAGAGACTGTGGAAACAGGATTCTGTTGTTTGAGGCAGTTAAGATGCTGGGAACTGCTTGCATCCAGTGATAGGTACTAGTTAAAAAGAAATCATTAACTGGCTTAAAGTTTTTGGCTGAAAAGAAAGAGGCCAGAAAGCCAAGGACTTGTTAAAAAAGAAGATGAATTAAGAGAATCTTGTAGAACCTTTCAGAATGATAAATGATATGGAGAAAGGAAAGGGACAGAGCAGTTCCATTATTACTTTACACAGAAGGCTCAAGGGGAGCACCCACCCGTGCACATTTAAATCAAGGGAATGTATTTTTAAACAAGTATTAAATTGTAAAACTAATGAGTTTTATCTATATGAGTTATATCTATAACTAGATATTGCAGAAGATGAAAGGTAAATGGATTTGAGGGTAAAAAACCCAACCCAAACCAAATTAGTGGAAGAAAGATCCCCTGCGGGCTACCAATGACGAGCTGGGCAATACAGCCAGAGAACAGTGGGTTTTCCTTGTCCCTTGTCATTCTTTTTTTTTTCCTCAGCCATGGTTACTGGAAGGACCAGCATACTGGGCTAACTGGACATGTAGCTAACCAGATCCAGCTGTTTTTGTGTTTAGAAATGCTGGAAAGGCAGGGATGTCAGGGCCCCCAGTCTGGGACGTCTCTTTGGGCTCGCTGCCAGCAGGTAACAAGGAGCTCCTCCCGTGTGAGCATTGAGCTCATCCAGTCCCTCAGCAAAGGGGAAAGGATGGGCTCAGAGATGCATTAGCTGCTGGTTTTGCAAGCCAGGAAAGCAGATCAGGTGTGCCCTGTGATTAGTCAGTGCTTCAAAGGCCACCCCTCCTAACAAGAGGGGTAGCAGCTCTGCTTTCAGCTGCTTCTCAGCTTGCTCTGTGCAAAATCATCTGCAGAGAAAAAAATTGTACTTGTTACTCTTCCATTCTCAGCCCAGGGAGATGTTTTCTGGTGGTTTTCATCTCTTTGTGATGCCTTGTTAAAATGCCCTTTATGGAAGGACCACTAGAGAAGTTTTTATGTCTTGTCCCTCTCTTCAAATGAAAATCCATCTGTTTAAATACAGCTTTGGTTTTTAAAACCATTTAAATCAGAGTGGTAGTTTCATTGAATGTTATTACAGACCAAAGCCAGTTTTATTTCTGTAGGTGAAGGGCATCCCTGAAATGGTGCATTAAACTCATCTACCAAAATCAGTTTTGTTAAATCAATACAAACATTTCCCTGTTGTTCTGGTTTGGTCTCAGTATGCTCTCTGACAGGGTTCACTTCTGCTGTGGAAGTAGTGGTGATTTGAATTTGCTCTAGGTAAGGAAAAAAAAACATCTAATATTAAAGAAACTGGGACTTATTTGATATTCTGAGCCAGTGGTGCAGATGGATAGAGCAGACACCCTGTGCTAGTCATGTCTTTTCAGAATACAGCTCCGTCAAAATGAAAGCTTTAGCAATGCAAAGTGGAAACTCCTGAGCAGAAACATTAATATTACTTTGCATTTTACAAACTGCCTCTTCTGGAAAGTCAGTGGAGTGAAAAAGAGTCTTATGGTTGGTGTAACTGATAATTTGTTGAGCGAAGCACAGTCATGGAGGGCTGCTGTACTGTCAAATAAGATGAAATTAATAGTTTGACAAGAATAGCTTGGAGGAGGAGTGATGGCAGCAAGACAGAAAATAGGAAATAAGAACCAAGCTGTTCAGGAAACTTAAGAACAAGGGAAAGAACTTTATAAAAGCAGGAGCTGGAGGGCAGAGGCGTGAAAAGGAAAACTTGAGCTTTAAATTTTGCAGCGGTTACAGTGCAACAGGGTGGCATTCAGGGAGGTTACAGTAGCCAAAGACTTACCTAAGGCATGGAATGGTATTTCTGAATGCTAGGAATGAATCTGTATAAATAAATAAGCTAAAATGTTCCCTGTGGGCTAGAGCTGTGCCCTCTAGTAAGAAAGGCTGAATTCTTGTGGGTTTACTTGTTAAAATTGCAGGGCCCTGTAATTACAGCTTCTTTCTGAAGGGTTTGTGTCATTACGTTGGTTAGAGGGGTAGGCATTATCTTCGGCCATTCTTCTCCTTTTAGACTGGAAGAAATGCATAATTGGAGGTTGGAGCCAGGACTTTTTATTCCCCAAAGTCCCCTGCATCCCTGAAATTCATGGTTAGTGAGTCAGTCCTGCTCTTATGCCAGCAGATGGTGCAGACTATTCAGGGACGGAGGCTCCCAGAAGCATTCTGCTCCTTCCTTTGAGGGAAGGCAGCCTTCCCAAGTGAGGAAAACAATGCCAGAAGGGTGGCCCTTGGGCTCTCTAACTGCTGCTCTGCAAGAACAGAGCACCATCCTTTCGACCCAGCAGCTGAGGGGGGTTGGAAGCAGAAATTACTGTGGATAGGATTTGTTTTGTACAGAAGTACTCATGAGTTAGGCCCGTATTTTTAAGTGGTAGGATTGGTTGACTGGGTGGAGGGACCCCAAAATTCCTTGCTAGAATCATAACTTATTTTGGAAGGAACCTTAAAGATCATCTTGTTCCAACCCTCCTGCCATGGGTAGGGACACTTTCCACTATCCCAGGTCGCTCCAAGCCTTGTCCAAGCTGTCCTTGGACATTTCCAGGGATGGGGCAGCCACAGCTGCTCTGGACAATCTGTGCCACAGCCTCATGGGCTTTCAGGGCACTGCTGCATTGGAACAAGGACCCATCTCAGGGGCTGTGATGGGCTCTGCTCCCCTCAACCAAAGGGAAGCTATAACAGGACATTTCCTTTTGCCAAAATAAAAGCGGTGACATTCAGTTACAGGTGTCAAAATCTTTCCTGCTTTCCCTGGAAGCTGTCCCAGCCATCCACAGCATAGATACTGTGGAGCCAGGAGTATTCCAGTGAAGAACAAATCACAGATAACAGATGCCAGATCAGCACCTTTGACCCTCTGAGCAGATCCCAGCATTTGTCAGGTTTTACCCAAGAGAAAGGCTAAGGGCTGTTACATCCTTGCTTATCCCTGCCTTGCTGCTCACAGGCCAAACACTCTCCTGACCCTGTGCCACTAAGCTCATGCCCTAATTCAGGGGATTCTGCCATCTCACATCTCTGACCCAGAGAGCATCCATCCCCTGCACACTTGGCAGGGGAGATACCCAAAACTTGCTGGACTTGGTCCTTGGAGAGTCTTTACAGATTTGCCATTTCACCTCTGATGTTCCCTGTGACAAGGTGTAGCAAAAAGCAGATCCTTTGCCAGAGCCCCTCCTCTCTTTTCTGCTGTCATCCCCAGATTTTTTTCTTCCTGATCTTAGTAATTACTAAATTTCTGTGCCTTTTTCCTTTCTCTGTTGGGTCCTTCAATGCAATACCTTCAACAAATATATTCTGCTTTATTCTTTATTATTCTGCTAACATAAAAATTACTAAAAAACACTTTATAAAACATGCCTTGAAAAATCTAGCATTACCCAACCTCTAGAGGAAGGGCTGGAGAGAAGGATTCAAAGGGAGGGGTTTCCTACTGCAGAGCCTCCTACATCAGATCCAAATAGCCAAGGAGTGGGAAAAGGGAAACTTTGAAAAGAGCCCGTGCTTGGAAGTGGCTGTGACTCATCCTAGAGAACTGGTTTCTAGTCCAGTTGCTCTGGAGGTCGTTGTCTAGGTGGGCACAGATGGTTTTCAGAGGAACACTGAGGGATTCGTGTTCCCAGGAACTGCGGAAGGAAGAGCCACATTCGTACAGCCCTGGCTGATGTCCAAGCTGCCAGATGCTAATGATGATTCCAGGCTACAGGGGACTCTAATAAGATCTTAATGAAGACTCTAATAACAGTCTGGGGACAAGAAAGTCTCCCTTCCATAACTGAGAGCCCTGGAAGGGAAATCCAGGCAGAACAAGCTTTTCAGGTTCAACAGAGGGGAACCTCAGCCTGGAAAAGCTCGTCAGGGCTGGAATGGGCTATCCCAGGACTGGTCTCTAGGGATCTGCAAAGGAAAACAGCAAGGAATTGCCCCCTGTGGCTTCAGAGGGGCAGGAGGCCTCTCTCAGCTGATCCAGAGGGTCAGGCAGGAGTCCCAGAACACTCAGGCTCTGCCCTCTGTTATTTGGGCAGACGGTGCTCGTTGGCATCCGTGGCTTCACGTGAATCCCATGGCTCCCGGAGCTGGGGAACAGCATCTGGGCTGGGGTTCCGGACACTGCCAATAAAAAGTGGGATCCCTGTTTCATCCTCGAAGATGATGAAGATAAAGGGCCTGTCGAGGCTGAAGCCAGAGAATGAGCGTGACATCACAACACCGGTGGCAGCAGATGCTTCCACCCCATCTTCTTTAAGCTCCAGGGTGGCCTGGTGCTGTATACTGGACACAAGGAGAGGCTCCTCTGTGATCTTCTGGAGATTTGGGCTCATGAACAGTTCCTGGAGGCCTGCAGAGAAATGAGACCAAGTTGGTGCAACGAGTTCTGAGTTTTCTCAAAGCTGGCTAAAGAAATAAGTTCTCTGATCTGTTGCTCCATGTGCTACCCACCATGGAGGATTTGAGAGCTGACAGCCAAGAGAAACAAAAATTCCACCTCTTTAAGAATAGTAGAGTAAGAACTTGAAATCATCAGTAAAAAGCAGCAGCAAGTCTGAAGACTCTCTCTAGCAAGGCTAGAAACACTTCTACAGAGATAATTTTTTAAGCAATTCTTTGCGAAACAAAGTGAACTCTTAAATTATTCTCATCTGGAAAGGCAGCGCCTGGTATTTTATTTCAGCTGCAGGTTTTGTGATCTGCATTTTCTTTGTTGGCAATTTCCATGTCCTGGACACTGAATTAAATGACAAAGAGACTGAGATTGATGCACGGGGGAAGTTGGTCTTGGCTACAATGGGAAGAACTCGTAAAGACTGTGAGAAGTTGTGAATGCTGCTTTCTCTGTAGTATCATCTTGTTGAAGCAAAACATTTGGTGCCAGGCAAGCAAGGAGTAAGGAGGAGGAGAGGAAGAAGAGCTGGGAGAGTTTGGAGTTCTGGAGCAAGCTGTGAGGCACAGCTTTAGAAACAAGGGTGGCAGCGAACAGATTGATCAGCTCCTCTTGTTCTCTGCAAACCCTGCTAGAGGCCTTACCCATTTGGCTGAGAACCTGGTTGAGTTCCAGCTGGTAGTCCAACTTTATTTTGGGGATCTTCACTGCAGTGGGCACCTCTCTGGGGAAAAGCCTGCACAGTTGTTTGTAAGGGAAGTTCTCCAGCACTTGAGAGGCGTTCCAGGTGATCTGGTCTGGTACGATGACCACAAAACTCACATTACTCTCAAAGGGAAACTTGGCCACCTGGGAATAAAACCAACCAGAGAAGAATTTAGGGAAAAGGAAGGGAAGTCCAGGAAGTGATGCTTTTAATTTAGTCTTTTTTTAATTGGTCTGCAGGGCCACTCTTGCTCTTGGATGAAAACAGCCTGGTGAGAAAGAAGGATCTGATTTCTCCAGAGGAGAATTTGTTGGAATAACAGCTTTAGATTTTAGTATTGAGTACATGGCAGAGTGAAAGCCCACATGCACAAGCTTGCCCCACTCTGAAAAACTCCAACAGCACATAGTCCACAGGAATTCCTTTCCATATTTCCTCATTTATCTTTAACTCAGGGCTTTAAAACTCTATTAATTCCCAGTTAGTAGGAATATCTCTTTGTGGTTTTTCCTAGAGATTAAAAGTGAAGATTCAACATTCTTGCTGGAAGCAAGGACAAAGAATGCTTATTAAATTTTTGTGTGCTATGCCTGTTAGAAAAAGCATTTGGTTTTTTGGAGAGAATGCTTGCAGTCAGTAAAATACCACAGCAAGAGGAAATTCCAATGAAAATTTGCAGTGCTCCTGAGAGATCCCTACCTGAATATGCTGGGACTCCAGTGTAAACCAGCTCAGGGGGTACTCATGAGCTTTCATCATCTCAACTGGGACCACAAACTCATAGTTAAGGTGGAATATATCTGGCTTAGTGAAGTCTGCATTAAACTTATTCCTCCAAAACCCTGTAAAAATAAAAGTTTTGAAAGTGATGAAGTCAAATTTGGGTAGAAAACCAGAAACTGCTGATCTCACATTCCTCCTATCTTGAGTTTTCTAACAAGGCCAATAGTGACCAGAGAAGTGAAAATACAGCAAAGAGAAGTCAGTACCAAGGCTGGAAGAGCCCTAACAGCAGGAAACTCTTATCATCCAGAGAGAAACTATGGAATAACAAAAAGAACACGGATGAATCCTCATGCCTCAGCGTGGGAGACTACTGAAGGCTGTGGAGATAAAAGAAACTATGTTTGTGCTTTGAAAAATGGGGAGTATTGCCTTTGTGCTGCAGAGGGAGAAACACTGCTCCAAGACCAAGGTAAAACGTTTGTAGATTTACACTGGAAGTGTTTGGTCTGTGCACAGCCCTCAGGGAATTCAAAAAGGAAGATGTGGCCGACCACTGTGCTGTAGTCAGAGAGAAATCCACAGAAGCTTCCTCTGGGCTCTGTGGTGGATGTGCAGTGAGCTGCAAACGACCTGGTTCATCATTTAGGTTAGAAAAGACCTTTAAGATCACTGAGTAGATGAGCAGGGATGTGCCACTGCCTGGGATCCTGAACCAGGAGGCAAAGATACTGCAGGTCCCACCTGCTGTGTCCTGGCTCTGCTGTCAAGTAACATTTTTAGCACATGTGAAGCAGTTTGGAATCATTACTGTAAAGAAATCTAAGCAAGAGGAACAGCAGATGCACAAGAACAAGCAGATTGCCTAGCAGGAAGCGAGGAGAGGAGATGCTGTTCAGCTACAGGGCTTGCAGAAAACTGGAGTTCTAACTATTTCCTCTTGAAAAAATAAGGCAGGCCTGTGGAGCTCACCGTGGAAATAGATGGCATTGAGCAGGAGCATCACCGTGTCTCCAGGGAGCTGCTGGAGGAAGGAGGGGATTTGCCCATGAGTGGCTTCCTTTACCCAGTTGTTTATGGCCACGAGGTCGTCCTGGCTGATCCCAGAAAGGATCATGGGCTTTGCTCCATAGAATTTCTCTGAATCCTCCAGGAACTTCTCTTTCACCTCAAACCCTGGCAAAGGGGAGGAATGATGGGAAAAGTTTGCTCAGCGTGGTATGACACTCCCCAAGAGGAGGAAATAGGGGAAATGGATGTCTCCAATGTGCTTCCATCACTCTGTTTCTGGGAGGTTTATCCTACACCAGTCCAGCCCCACCCAGGCCACCTCTCACCTTTCTTCAGGTACAGACGTGACCCAAGGCTCAGGGTGGACTCTGTGAGCCTCCTGCGAAGGGTGCCCAGCATCTGGTGGAGGCAGGGCACGGACTCCAGGTGCATCACCTCCAGCAAATGCTTCTCTGTCTCATTTGCTGCTCCTAAAAATCAAATTCCTGTTAGGTCTCATGCCCACAGAGTGGAAAACAGGGATGTTACTCTGGCTGCCTCTTGTTAGAAACACACTGTGCCTCACAACAGAGCCTGCAGAAATCTGAGAGTCAGAGCCTCAGAGGGCAGCTTCAGTTGTAATCATGCCTAATTAAAGCTGCAGGAGCAAGGATAAGTGGAAGGGGCTGTATTTCATTTGCATCTGGCACATTGGCTGCTCGTGCCCCTGGGAGAGGAAACGGGGAAAGGCAGGGAATGGTGGCTTTGCCACTGAGAGTTACCCAGTGCCAGGTGAGACAAGGCCAGGGCGATGCTGAGGGGGGACAGGAGCACGTTGGTTCTGTTGGACTCCAGCTGCACTTCTCTCAGGAGATCAATGCTGAATCTCATCAGGCCATCTGCCAGCCTCTGGCTGTTCTTCCAAGTCATCTTACAGCTTTTATCTCCAGCCTTTCCTTCCTCTTCTGAAGAGGCATTTTCCCCAGGTGATTTCTTCCCACGACAACCTCCATCCCCAGCCACGGCTTCATCTTTTGAGTTCCAATCATCAGTCGTGTCTACCAGGGTGCTGGTGGATGCTGACATGCGTCCATCCTTCTCCTGGAAGCTGTCATAAGTAAATTCTACCGGCTTTCCCTTTGGCAGAGTTGGGGTGGTTTCCAGCACATGTGACTGTGCAATTCCAGCACTTTTCACATCCTGGGGAGAAACAAGGATAGCACTGGGAAAGCAAGAGCACAGTGACACCCTCATGGCTTTCCCTGCACATCTAAATGGGCTGAGAAAACTGGACAGAGCTGGACTCCTCTGCTCTGGTGGTGGTTTTGCTTCAGTTTCCCTTAAACCCTGAAGATAATGATTTGAAGGAATGGCTTTGGAAAAGAGAAGGTCTTGAAAATGGACCCAGTGAGGGTCTGGCAGTGGTTCTTCCTCCACTCGCTCTCAGCAAAGCTTGAGGGCAAGACCCACCACCAGCTTGGCACGTGTCCTGTGCCTTCAGCATTTACAGATCCTCAGCCTTGATTTCATCTCCTCCCCTCACACATTTCAGCAGTGCTCACCTGCCTCACACTGGTCAGCCCCTTCTGCTGCTGTCACAGCCCTGATCCAGTTTGGCTCAATTCCTCCTCCAGACATCTGTGTTTTCTTGACTTGTGTGTTCTATTCCATGCTTCTTCTCTCTAAATTTCCTCATTTTCCACTCTTCTAAGCTTTAGCCTTTAGCACTGCCACTAGTCTCCTCACATTTGCATGGTCTGAAACATCCCAGGCTCAGTGGGTTGGATCAGTTACAGGTCTTTCTCCCTGTCATCCTCACAGCTGGTGGCTTCCTCACCTTTCCTTATCAATCAGAAATCAAATCATCCACCTGCCAGTCCCTGTACACACCAGCACTAATGTTAACTCCATACTCTGCTCAGTTATTTAGAGTGGAGCTTCCAACTGGAAGGAGCACAGCGCTGGCAGCAGCTGGGAGTAAAGGCTGCAGAAAGATGGACTTTTCTCATGGCACTGGCACTGCCTGGGCTCATCCCTTCTCAGGAAAAACTGCAAATCCCACAGCACAACTTCAGCCCCCTTGGGTGAAACCCATCAGTGCTTACCCTCAGATTCCCATCTTTGTCCAGGAAGAGACGCTGCTGGTCACTGGCATCTGCCAGCTGTGGAGGAAAAAAATCAGCAAAGAAACAAAGTCTGAATTTCCAGAGTTTGTCTTCCCTGCTCCCACTGCAATCCTGGTTGGAGCATTCCCCACAAGGCACGGGCAGGATTTTGGGATGCAGACCCAGGGCATTGGGTCCAACATGGGGAGGTGGAAGTGAGGAGCAGCTGGGACTGCAAACACTGGGCTTGTTTAGAAAGGGGTCAGGCCAGTCTGGCACAAAATAATGGATCCTTTTGAGAGCGAGCTGTGGGGTTTTGCAATCTCAGTTCTGACAGGGATCCAGATTTAAAAGTGAGGGGGGAGGAAAAACCTGCTTTTCAAAAACCTCCTGAAGGTCACGGTCACTAAATACAGTTGAGGTCAAGTTCCAAAAGAAAAGTTTCTACAGAAATACGAATAATAAGAACATCCACAACTATTTTAGATGGATAAAAGATTAGAAACCTTGCTGGTGACCCCCCTAGCAGTGCCCTCCACCTATCTGCCTTCCAGGGCTTCTCTGGGTGGTATTTGCTCCATGGTTTGGCTCAGGGAGCCACCACACATCTCTTGCTCTTTGCTGGAATAGCAACTTACCCTTGGGAGGCTGTGCAGAGCAGCCAGGCAGAGCAGCCCCCAGAGGAATCCCATTTTCCTGGAACAGAAGGACCAACCGAGAGAGGAGTTATTTCCAGCTGCGAGCTCAGACTATTCAGGTCTACAGGGAGAAAATTATCAACCTGGCCAAACAGGTTGGCACAGGAGCTCGTGGAAAGCAATAGGGAGATGAACAATGCTGCAAAAAAACAACGCAGGGCTCCTGGGTCTGGTGCCAAAGGCAGGGAAATCAGAGAGGAGCAGGGGCCCACAGCCACAGCCAGGCTCCGCTTGGATCCTGCCTGTCTGACCCTGCTGCCCTGGTTTCTCTGGATTGCAAATGGTATTCCCCTAATCAGTGCTGCACACACTGTGCCTCTGGAAGGAGACAAGAACCTTTCTGCTCCTTTCCCATGGAAACCACTGAGATACAGGCACAGCATCCTCAGCTGTGCCCCCGGCTCTTGGGAGAAGGGCTACTGACCTGCAGGTGCTCAGCAAGCGCTGTCTGGGAGGGGATTTGCAGGTAGAAGTGCAATACCAGAACAGTTTCCCAACATTATGTCCAGGAAGGGGGAGACCTCCCCTTCCCAGCACTCATCTTCCCCCTTTGCTGGCAAACCCCGCCTCTCACCCTTCCGTGCCCCAGTTCCAGTGTGGGACAGTGGGAGCAGGGCTTCCAGGGTCACGGACAGAACCCCACCCATTCCCTGGCCAACGCTTCACCCAGCCACTTTCCATTTTCAGACAGAAATAAAATATCTTCTCTTTCTCATAAAACCTCCACGCCAAATCCCAGCCCCCTGCATTGCGTCCACATTGAATTCCTGGGGCTGCTTTCCACTCTCCAAGCAGCCCTTACTTCACCCAGAACTGCTGGGCTGAGATCCCACTGGCAGAAGATAACTTGAGGCCATATCACTCCTCCCTTTCCTTCACCCCAAATCCTGCAGTCACATACAACCCTAAATACCCCTTTTCCTCCGTGGTGGTGCCCATCCTTTAACTTCCTGTCAAATTCACCCCTCATTTCTATCGAATCCTTTGATTTGTCCCTCACCTGAGGTTGTTCATGTCCACGTTGGAGCTGGCAGCTGCTTTAGCCTGTCCTGCAGCTCTGCATGGGGCGCACACAGCTCTTGTCCAGTCCCCCTCCCAGCAGCGACCTTCAGCACCACCCCCTGTTTGAGAATTTGGCAGGCAAATATTGACCTACAGCATCCGGTTAAACATTTGTTTGGGGGAGAAGAGTGAATTTGTGGTGCATTTGGAAATGGGGACGCACTTTCGGGCTGCTGTACCTTCAAGACAATCTTAATACCGAGTTTACAAGATGCAAAATTCCCACCAGCAGAAGTAATTTGCAAGTCGCTCCACTTTGCATACACTCCCCCTGCTAGGAATATTCTCTTTTATTCATAAACTTCAGTGAAAACACAGGGCTTGATGTTTATTGCCACCGGGCTCTCTGGTTTGGGAATTTTCTTAGCTGAAACCCCCATCTCTTCCCTCCTGGAGTCCCGGCTGCTGCTGCATCCCGTGTGAGGCACTGGTTTGACAGAGAGCAGGTGCCCAGGGCCCCGTGGCTGCACACAGCAGGCTCTGATGGCCAGGCTGGGCTGAGCCAAGAGCAGCTGGTCCCTCCCCTGGGGCACAGCACGCTCCAGAGCTCTCCCAGGGCAGCTGGTCCCAGTGTCCAGGGCATGCACACACTGCTGGGGCATAGAGGAAAAGTCTTGAGGACGGGCAGAACTCCAGCACACCTGCCCTGGCTGGATTTGTGTCATAAGCAGAAGTGATGGTGATCCTTTCCTGCCTCTGCCCATGTCCTCAGTGGGAGAGGAGTCACTGAGGACCAGCAGGGAGCACCAACAGCATCTTCCACTCATCCATTCCTTGCAGGAACTCTGGGTTCCCAAGCTCGCCCCAGACAGTGGGTGACAAATCTGAGCTCTGCAACCACGTTTGGGACGTGCTGCTGCAACACAGGGAGCGACTTCCCCTTGGAAAGCAAATCCTGTGCAGCAGAGTCCCATCCTATACATCCAGGGCTCCCCCAGAACACAAGAGGAGCCTGAAGGAGGAGGTGTCACTTTGGCTGAGCAGCAGAGCTGCAGCCAGCACACCCAGCCCCTCCAGCACAGAGCTTCCACACACAACCCTGGTTCTGCAGCTCTTTCAAAGAGTTTATTAGAAGTAAATATTTACATCTATTGCAAACGGTTAATAGGCAACGTGGGACTGAGAGCTCCCCTTGGGTAGGGAAGGACAGCACTGGCCAACCACTCACCTCCCCAGCTGCAGGATGGAAGCCCTTTCCCCACCCAGGACAACCCACAGCAGGCTCCTCCTCTGCCCAAGGTGAGAGCTTTCTGCTCCTCTGATACTGGCTCTGGCTAGGCTAAAGGATGGGTGGGAAAAGGGCTGCAATAGAAGGGAAGAAACTGCTTCTACTGGTGGGGCAAAGAGCACCCTCTGTGCCTTTGGGGTGGGAACACAGTGCTGTCCCAAAGGAAAGGTCAAAGAGAGACCATGCTGGATTCTTGCCTCCTGCCTCTCACCCCACAAAGGCAGGAGGGCACAAAACTGAGCACCTTTTTACTGTCCTGTCTTCCCCAGGGGCCTGACCAGCACGAAGGAGAGGATCAGAAGGATTTCTTGAGGATCACTGCCAGTATAACACACATGGCATTCCTCACCCTTTGCATCATCATGGGATGTTGGGGTAGGAACCAACAACAGCCCTACCCCACTGCTCCAGAAGCCAAAATTCCAATGGAAGCATCTAGTTCTGGCCTCCTTAGAATCACATTCCCATCCCAATCTGCCCCTGTGCAGCAGCCCATTCCTACAGGAACTGGCAGAGCAGATGGGGTTTGTGCCTTGGCTGGCTTCCATTCCAGTCTTTGCCCTGGAACCAGCACGGCAGCAGAAGGGCTCTGGTGAACCTTCTCCTCCTCCCATGCAAGCTCTAACTCAGCTGGCAGAACCTAAAGTTCACAGAGCACCTCCTCTGGGCTTTGAGCACTGGCCACAGGAGGAGGAGAGGCAGCTCCAAAGGCAGCAGTTCCCAAGCCCAGCTCCTGCCATTCCAGTGGGGCTGTTCAGTGGTTCAGGAGAGGAAGGGAAGGGGAAGTGCAGGTGGCAGTAGCTAAACGGTTCTGATTTGTCAAGGGGCACCTCTCACCCCTTAACTGAAGGGGGGAGGGTACCTGTGGTCCCTATTCCTGTGGAGGGCAGCTCACAGTCCCCTGGGGATCAGGCACACATGGTAAGGAAAGCTCCAGGCCTCTCTGCAGGGGTGACAGTGACCTACAACGCCCAACATCTCTCCCAGCAGCAGCGGAGGTTTCTCAGTTATGGCTTTTTTTTTTTCTTTTTCAAGATACAGAAAGAGGTTAGAGACGTAACAAGAACACGTCCCCCTGCATCCTCTGCTCAGAAACATCTGACTCTGCCTCCTCCAAAAGCCATGCTGCTGGCTTCCAGCTCCAGCACAGCACTGTGGGACAGCCACAGGCTGCCAGGCCGGGGTCACTACGCCAGGAGCCGGATGATGCCGTTGTCCGAGCCCAGCAGGAGGTGGCACTTTGTGGGCAGCACTGCCAGGCTGGTCAGCGTACCCCGAAAGTTCTCTGAGCTCAGCTTGGTCGTGCTGGTGGGCAGGGCTGAGGACTCCAGCATGGAGTAGACCCCGATCTTGTTGGCCACAGTGCCAGTGACCACTTCGTTACCGTAGAGGTCGAACGCGTGGATGGGCTCGGAGGCAGATTTGTAGTGGTGCAAAGGTTTCTGCTCCAGCTCCTTCCAGACAGTCAGGGAATGATCTGAAGAGGAGCTGATCAGCACGTTGCCCTCTGCAGCCTGCAGGAGAGGAAAAGCTAGTGACCAGACATTTCTGTAAAATTTCACAATCTGGTGCTGCACATGAGAGCAGCAGGTGGCTGCCAGTGATGCAGTGGTCACAGTGCAATCCCTCAGGACAATCTGAGCCATTTTCAAGCAGTTGATGGTACTGAGCATGTTAGCAAGGCCTTGGGTAGACACTGCAAGCTAAAGGATGCTGTGGTAGCTGGCAATCTCCTCCAAGAGATGGGCTGGGCCTCTTCTCAACAACACCCTGACACCCAACACAACTCATTCATCACCTGTTACCATCTGTTACCATGCAGTTTCCCTCTCCATTAAATCACCTGCCAAACTATTTTCCTTCTCAGAAGAAGGAATTGGGAGGCTCTCACACAGTTGAAAATACTGCTGAGGGTAGGAGAAGCCTGGAGCTGCTTATTAGCAGAGCTAGTGAGAGGGTAAACAACCCACACTGCTGAACTTTGTTTAACCCATGTTTGGGTCGAGGACATTGGAGACCCAGCACTGCTCCCTGGGGTGGGTAAATATGGACAAGAGTTACTCATTAGAGCAACACTCTCCCAGGGAAGCTGAGAGCCCCGTGGAGAAAGCAACACATTTCCTCCTTCACAGGAGCCATGGCTCCTCCCTGCCCCTGCTGCAGACCTGCCTGGCAGGGATTGAAACCCAGGAGGACTGAACTCTGGCAGCACGAGTTGGACCAAGAACAGCTGGCAGCAGCACTAACCATGGGGCAGGAGAGCTTGGGCAGCCTCTTAGGGACGCTGCAAGGGATGAAGCAAGGATGGAGCACACTAGCCCTGAAGGAAGGATGCTCCATACAGCCTCAGAGCATCACTGAAGCCCCGCCCTGAGCCCAGCTGAGCCTCTCACCTTGATCTGCAGGATGTCTCCCTCATGGGCAGGCCAGCCCCGCATGATGAGCCCCGTCCTGGTGTCCAGGAGCACGATGAAGCCGGAGGAGAAGCCGGCCATGACGCTGCGGCCGCTCGGACTCACGGCCAGGCAGCGGATGAGCCCCGCGCTCACGCCACTGGCCAGGCGGAACTCGTGCTGCAACACAGACAGTCCAGCTGGGGGATGAAGCTCAGGGGAGCTGGCATTTAAGGGACAAACGGCTTTCCATGGAGCCATCACAGCTGGCTTTGGGATTTGGGATTTGGGCCAGCTCTGATCCCATCATTAGCACAGGGCTGCAGGAAGGTGACTCACAGAGTACCACATCCCTACCTGTAGTCCTGGCTTCCTGTGGTCGATGAACCTCAGCACGGAGTCTGCACTGGCCACAGAGATGCTGTGATAGGGAGGTGGCATTGTGGTCACAGCTGTGATGGGGACTTTGCTGTCTAACTCATCAAAAGTCCGCAGAAGTTTGCCTGTGAGAAGATGACAGATACTATGGCAGGACAAGTCACACAGCAAATCTCCAGTTCTGTGCTGGTTTTTAACAGGAGCCATCCAAACTCAGCACAGCCCCTGCCTGTAAGGGCTGCACCAGCTCACTCCAGCTCCTCACCCTTTCCCTTCTTACCCGTGAACTGGTCCCAGATGTGCACGGTGCCGTCACAGCTCACCACGTGCTGCGGTGCCTCCAGCTGGCTCACGTAGAACACAGACTTCTTGTGCTCGGCGTAGGTGAAGCGTGGTGGCACCTCGCTGGTGCCATCCCCGTAGTTGTACAGCGGCCAAAGCCGCACTGTCTTGTCCTTGCTGCCACTCAGGAAGAAATCCTCGCTGCCCAGCGGTGCCACGCACTTGATGGCCCCGGAATGCCCTGAGAAACTCTGCAGCTTGATCTGGTGGAAGTGGAAGCGGGGGTCGTGCTGGCTCACCCCGATCTCGTACTGCCAGTAGGCCAGCCAGTTCCCACACAGCATGTGCGTGCTGCGGGGCAGGTCGTGCTTCAGGGCATTGTCCTCGCTGGAGGAGCTGGGAGTGAATCCATCAGTGCCAGCACTGAGGCGGAGCAAGCCAAGACCCTCCCGCTGCGTGTCCACGGGCACCTGGATGCGGTTCCCCACCAGGACACTCCCAAAAGTGCCGGAGTGAGTGTCCTCCTGAGGGCTGGAGAAGGGCTCAGCCCCTCGAGGGTCTTGGTCTGAGCCCACCACACTCGGTGTTTGTTCCAGACCAACCACCTGCAGGTTCTGGGGGTTCACGTTCTCCAGGTGGAGGCTGGCCAGCTTCTCAACCAGAGAGTGGTTGGGCACAACCGTCCGGATAACGTCACCTGAGGAGACAGAGACACCGTGGCTGCAAGGGAAGCAATGTCCTCTTCACCATCACCATCC